AAGTTCATACTGGTAAAACCATTCAAATGAACTCTACAGCAAAGGAGATGGTTAAGAAAATTGAGGGCTCACTTCATTAAAATTTCCATTCTCTGCCTCAGTAATTGCATTCTGGGCAATGTAGTTACGTAGAATATACTTTGGGTTATTTTTGTTCATGGTGTCAACACGATGCTGGATCAGTTCTTCGGTAATTAAGGTCTCACCATCTGACCTCTCTGCCTCTAACCTTGTTGAATACATCTTCAGCCATGCACTCCATGCATCTGAATCTGTTTTTCTTTTTTCTTCATCAGTCAGTTTCTATATTTATTATTTAAAAATATTAATTCGAAAGAAATAAACACATATACTTTTCATATACAACTGCTACAGACAAATGAAATAAACTAATGTAACACAACAATGTGATTATAAATAATTGATTAATTAAACAACAATTGATTAATAGGAAATGACAATTTTAGAAAAAAATATTTATTCTTTTTTAAAACACAGTAAGCATGCATGTATAATACAATGATCAGTAAAGAAAGAGTCAAAAGCTTTGGTGTTGTTAGAGTTACATTGAGTTTTTAATTAAAAAAAAAAAAAAAGTAGTTTCAATTTCTGTATTTGTATTGTACTGTAGTAATAATTGTTCAATCACAAAAACGTTTTTTTTTTTATTATGACAAAGCACCAGCGATATTAAAATAAACATAGGAATTTCCATTCCAAATGCCTATTAGAGCTTAAAGTTTAAAAAAAAAAATAATGAAGGCATATATCATTATCAGAATTAAGTACAATTAAATATATAGTTGCTGAGGTAAATTCTTGGGCATGCTACACCCCAAAGTCTCCTAAAATGAGGCCCAAAAGACACTTTAAGGAAAGGGTTACATCATTATTATATTTTTATAGCATACAATTCTTGCACTTAAAGCTGAAATTTCTGACCAAAAGTTAAACACCCAGAACGAAAAACACCATGTTAATTAAAGTGACTATTTGGATTAAATTCAACAAACCTCCAGTTCTTTTGACTTCTTCACTCTATCCAGCTCTTGCATAAGTCTTCGCTGACCCTGTCCTAATACTCCCAACAAATCAGGGTTCATCTGTGCCAACATCAAGTACATCTCCAGCTGCCTGAAAACACCAGATAGATCAGAAAATAGCGAGAGTATATCCTATTGATTACTCTGGAACATTTATCACAATGTCACAATGAGAAAACACAGTGATACACACCTTGGATCCATTCTGGGGGCACTGGCTTTCTTGAGGGTTTCTGCCATACAGCACTGTGTCAGGAAATACTGGTGAGCAGCTGCAAGGGCATCCTTCGATCCTGAGGTGCCTGGCAGAGGTACTTTCGTCAGTCCTCGGAAGCAATTTGTAAAGTCTGCACCAGTGACTTGCAAAGTCTCCAAGAATGACTCAATCAAAGCTCTGAAAAGACAAGTAAATTTGAATATGTTGCAACTGGTGTAAATGTAAAAATAAAGTAAAGGCAGTGGCTATTGTTACACCAATCTTAAATGAACACTAATTTCGATTTGATGCCATTGTCCTAATCCAATCCATACTAACAATAAAATAAAAGTTTAGGACTGGTGTAACAATCGCCACTGCCAAAAATAAAAGCATTAAAAAGTACTTTCAAGCAAATTAACAATGACCCATCATCAATTTCAAGAATGATTATGTCAAATGCCATGTCATTTGCATTAATACTGCAACCACTCTTAATGCAACTGTAATAGCAAATATGTCACTCTCTTTACATAAATTTGTAATCTACTTCGCTACTAAAAAACAATAGAGAACACGGATATGCCAAAAAGATGGGGTGAGTACACCAAGAGATAATCTTTTGATTTTAACTTGCACTTAACTTTCAACTTTTAGATACAGGAGAAACATGTTGCTCAGAATTCCAACCTATTTCCTGCATCCTCCCATTTTTTACCTACTTGTCTTCTGGTAGTTCTTTTAGAAGTCCAAGTTTCTTCCTCATCTTCTCCAGGTAACACCTTTCAAACTCTCTGTCATACAAGTCTTCTAAAGCCTCTTTAGACTTTTCAACAGGAAGTGACATAGAAATTGCTTCAGCAAGCTTGCTGAGATTCCATTTACAGATCGAAGGCTGTTTGGCATACGTGTAGCGCGCACCATCATCTATAAAAATAATATTGTTTATCAGAATATGAAATTAATGTTGTTTTGGAGGAAAAATCTTCACTTTAGTTACTATATATATCAAGTTTTGTGTAAAAAAAAGTATTTTTCCACCTTTATTGAAAACCACGGTCATTTAATTACTGTTTGGTTGCTACGGGGAGTTAAAGGATTACATATTATTTTATACAAACCTGAAGCATTACAGATGAAATCTGGGTCAAATTGATCCATGAATCCAAATGGCCCATAGTCTATAGTGAGACCAATGATACTCATGTTGTCTGTGTTTAACACTCTAGAGTGAAAAAAGAGAATCAATATTAAACAACAAAACACACATTCATGATCGAGGGGGAAAATTATCAACAAGCATACTTACTCACTCAGTACTAATTAATTCAGAATTTTGCGATTTTTGCCTGCCCTAAATTTTCGCTATTGTAGTTTTATCATGAAAATCGCGAAAATTATGGGCGTGTGGAAAAAAAGGGCTGTACAGTACGCTGCTATGTGTCTAATCTCAGTCTGCGGCGTTCTCATCCAAAAAGGACCATAAAGTATACATAAATTGCTTTCTACTAGTTATTCCTTCAAAGTCCTGGTGGAAATTGACCAACATTGTAAAGTACATTGCCTAAGAACACAAATTCAATGCAAAGAGGATTGAACCACAGACCTCAACGATGAAAGCTGGAACTGTTACACTGCACCAAACCACTCCTAGTATTAATGTATCTTAAGTTTCAATGGACAGTAAGGCCAAACTGCTCCTACTACTACCTTAAGTTTTGGACAGCAGGGTCAAAGTAGGGCCAAACCATTCCTAGTACTACCTTAAGTTTTACTAGAGAGTAGGGCCAAACTGCTCCTAGTACTACTACCTTAAGTTTCAATGGACAGTATGGCTACATTATGCCATCTCAATTTTAGTTGCACTCACCCATGACAGAATCCAACACACTGCCATCCTGCAACCAGCTGAGCCGTCAGTGTAACAACTTCCTTATAGAAATCCAAATACTTCTTTTCCTGATTCTCTTCATTTCTCTCATGAACCTAAGTAACAACATATTTTAATTGAATAAATTAAGGTGACTGTTTAGGTGGTGGAAAATGGATAATGCATGCCTTATTTTGAACTCCACATCTAGTGTGAATATTTTACAGTTTTACTAAGCGTGTTTACAAAATTTCCATCAAAGGTGACTGGTGGATGAAAAAAGCTTGAAAACTGCAACTGTAAGGGTTCCTTCACTGGACTTCCTCAGATGATGGGGGAGGGGACACAGAGGGGGAACAAATCTAATTTACGAATAGTAACAGTTAACTGGAAAGATCTGGTGTATGCTGATAACGTTAATTGAGTGGTTGAAGGTTTCATAAGGGATACGCATCTAGTTTGAATATAATGCAGTGCTTGGTACTAAAAAAAAAGATATTGCACTTTTGATATACAATACAAAAAATTATATATAACAGTTAATCACCTATTTATGGACTGAAATACGCAAAAACACTAAATAAGCAACTGAGCATTAAAATGTTTTGTAGTCATTCTCCCTCCGCAATGTGCATCTGCGAACACAAACCTACCTCTGGAAAAAATGTCTGAATGGTATAGTTGAGGAGAGTCTCAAGAATGTCCTTCCTGCCAACGCTTGGACCTTGGCGTCCGGTGTAACTGTCTTCTGGCTTGAAAATTTCAAAAGATCCAAACCTGATGGCATTGTGAATAAAATTAATGATACCTTTTTTAATTAATCAACAAATAAAATGCAGCATAAAGTTAAATCTATTCATATGATTGTATGTGATTGTAAAGGCGCAGACAGGCTGCTTTATGGTTCCTTTGAAGTTATTCAAAAGATCCAAACCTGATGGCATTGCGAATAAAATTAATGATACCTTTTTTGATTAATCAACAAATAAAATGCTGCATAAAATTAAATCTAATCACATGATTGTAAAAGACGCAGACAGGCTGCTTTAGCGTTTCTTTGAAGTTATACATGCTGGAGGGAGCAAACATTAACACGTAAAATATTGATGGCATTTGACAAATAGTTAGACATTTCCTTAAGAGCATCCACCACATGACAAGTAGTAAGTAATCATGTTTTTTGCGATTAAAGTTTTTAAGGTTATTCAGAACATCATTACAATATATTTATCTTTTTCTTACTTCCTCTTGTATATAAAGTATTAATTGATTTCTCAACTAACAAGCCAATATTAAATTGAAATAGTACCATGTTACAGCACCTCACCAAACTTACCGCAAGAATGTTTGTGCGACTCTGAGAACAATGGA